GCCTGGGTGGAATACAGATGCTGCCCCACGCGTGACTCACATCCACGAGTGATCCCACACGCCCCACTCCCTTGCAGCATCCAGGACACACACAGTTCCCGCTGCCCCTTATCCCCAGTCTAACATATCACTCACTTTAGTCCTGCAGCCCGCAGACCCCGACCCCCAAACCCATGGCGCAGCCTCCACCCCCTCTCCAACACAACTCTATGCCATACCCAGGACACACGTGGCTCCAGCGACCCCCGACCCCACGCACTGCCCACGTGAGTCCCACAGCCCTTCCACGCCAGAAACCCCCCAGCCCCACGCAGGGGGTCCCACAGCCCACCCGTGCCCCCCTCACCATGGCCGCTCACTACCCGACCCGTTATGAAGCCGCCGGTGAGAGGAACAGAGAAAATCCCCCCCCGGACCCACCCTTATATAGCCGAGGGGGCGTGGCCTCAATGGTGCGGGACACGTGTGGGCGTGCCCCGCCGCCCCGCCCCCTTTAGACACCGCCCCCTTTCCGCCCCGCCCTTTCCGCCCCGCCCCGCCTCTGATTGGTCGGTTCGAACGTCGGAAGCGAGAGGGCGGGGCTCTTTTCTAGGGGGCGTGGTCTGTGACAGAGGCCGGCGGAATGTGGGGGCGTGGTCTATCGGGTGGGCGTGGTTTGAGCAGAAGGGGCGGGGCTTCCCAAGAGGGGCGCGGAGGGGCTGCAGGCGGACCCCAATGCGGGGGGTCCCGGTGGCCCCCAGCCCCAGCCCTGCAAAGGCGGAACCGGGACCCGGGGGGGCTGAGGGGGGCCCCGCTGTCCCCGTGTCGCCGTTCCCGTGGGAATCCCCGCGGGGCACCGCCGCGCCGTCTCCTTTTCCCGCTGCCATCGCCTTTGTTCCTCCGCCAGCGCCGGGGGGGGGCATTTCCATGGGGCGGCAATGGCGTGGGGAGGGGAGTGGGGGGGGCAGATCCTGTAGGGCAGGAGGAGCGGGCCGGGGGGTGGGGAGAGCACCTCGTGGGTCACCTCAAGTCTGGCCTCGGGCTGTGGGTGGGGACCGTTTGGGGTCACATTCCCAGGGTTTGGGGATCTCCGTGCCCCCCCGCGTGGGGCTTTGAGGGGTGGGGGGGGGGAGGATGCTCCCCCTCCATTTAAGGGCCCCTGAGGACTCACTGAGGGGGACCAGGATGTCCCCAGGGCTGAGGGACCCCTCTGCCCCAGGGGGGGTCCTGAGTGTGGTGTGTCCCTGCAGTGCCACTACGGTCCCCTGCGTGCCTGGGGGGTCCACGTGCCCCGTGGCTGCACCCCCACAACCCAAACAGCACCGTGATTCCACCCCCCAGTTTACCCAGTGTCCCCCCCACGCCCTCAGTGCTGGCTCCTCTGTAGGACTGGAGCACCCCGTGTCCCCCAGTGCTGCCCCCTGCTCCTCCCCAGTATCTCCAGAACCTCCCCACCCCGGTGCCCCCCCTCCCTCCCTATGGGGATGCACCAATTCCACCATCACCCCCCCAGCTCCCCCTTTCCCCCCACCCCCCCGTTCCCCCCATCCCCATCTCTCCGCCGCAGCCGCCGCCCCGTGCCTTTATCCCTGCTTTTGCCGCAATGCGGTGCCGCACCTGCAGCCCCCTCCCCACACCCAGACAAATGTAGCCCCCCCCACACACACACACCCTTAACCCTGTGCTCCCCCCATTCCCACTCTCTCATCATCCCGTGGGCGTTGGGGGGGTTGTGGGACACCCAAACTACGTGGACAAAGCGGTGACCCCCCCTCCTCATAGTTGTCCTGCAATGCTGTGGGGATAGAGACCCCCACCCAATTCCAGGAGGGGACACACAGAGGTCACACTGTCAGGCTGGGTGCCCCCACCTCCGCCGTACCCCCAGGGCCCCGTCCCTCAGTCTGGGTGAACATGTCACATCGATGCTCAGGGGACAGACAGACAGACAGACAGAGCTGGCGGGCACAGGCGGTGGGGGGGGGGGGGGGGGGGGCAGAGCCAGAAACCTCCACCAGCCC